ATGAAACAGCAGCAAATTATTTAACCTATTGGCTGTGTTCACACAACTTGAATAACAAAATATTCAACTACATTTTAGCCTAGAGTGTTGTGTTGAGCCTGTGTAATTAACCTGTGGTGAATTTGATTCAAATGTATTGTCAGAATCTAGAAAATGAGTTTTGCTTAGTAAACTATAGGTAAGTCTACTGTGTGAAGACAAGTATTACAGTTATGTGGCTACAGGCAGTCCCCAGGTTAAGAATGTCCAACTTACAGACAATTCATACTTACGAAGAGGCTGCCTATTACTAAAAATGGCGGATGGCATTTTCATTCCTCAAGCCGATAAACCACTTAAGCCAAGCAATGTTTTTGTGAACCACAGGAAGCTGCATGTTTTTAATATACAGCTTGTTTTCAGTGGTTTACAGTGGTTCATGAAAGCATTGCACGGTTTCAGCAGTTTGTTGGCTTGAGAAAGGAGAATGCCATCTGCCATTTTTAATAATAGGCATCCCATTCGTATGTACAAGTTCCGACTTATGTACAAATTCAGCTTAAAGACAGGCTTAGGAACGGAACTCATTCTTAACCTGGGGATTACCTGTACCCTCAGGAAAAGATTGTTGTCTCAGAAGAAAAAATAATTTGTCAGTTTTGAGCACTATGCAGACTGACAGAGGATATGGCCTTTCTATGGATGGCATAAACTGCCCAAAGAAGATAGAAAGTTCTCAAAACTAATTAACTAAATAATATACTGTAGATTGAATAAATGCAATGGCTCCTTTCTTAAGTAGCTAGCCTTTGGGGGGGGGGGGGTTCTCATTATTATCATGAGAAAGATAGGGCTTCGCATATTTTTCTTTTTCTAAACTTCATTTCATTAGATCCTCTAACCCAAAAATTTGTCACCAGATCAAAACATCTTCATATGGTCAAGTAATCCTTGCTATCCTTTTAGCATCACCATTTCTATAAGATCCCACCTTTATTCTGCTCATTCTTGGCACTATCATCATGTAGCTACATCTTTCTATCCTTAATACATTCATAGTGCCCAACTGAAATAGTACAATCTTCAGAATAGTTGGGCAGAGGAGGCACTGCCACTGTGTCATATGGACCAGCCCTGTTTTTCATTTGTCTTTCAGTTGATAGGGAAGCAAAAAAGAAAACATATGCTTATCCAAATTAATTTTAGGACAAAACAGACCCATCATTTGTTTCTTAGAAAAAATTGCACAGGAAATGCTTTTGACATATTAAGTATGTCAGCGCAAAAATAGTAAATGTAAAATTTACTAATCCACATACAAGAGTTTGTGGTGAGTGTATCCAACAGGCAGCAAGCACTCCCTAGAAATGTATCCATTAGCTACATTTCAACAAGTTTTAGTGGGTAGCAACACTTGGTCCAAATTCAGCACCCAATCAGGGTTAGGCCTGATTAACATAGGAGACCACTAAAGAATAGTAGGGCTGAAAGTTAGACTGTGAAGATGAAAAACATTTCAGAAGAAAGTGGTAACGAACCACTCCTGTTTTTGCCAAGAAAACTGCATGCTTGTGTCTACGTAGGCAACAAGAATGAAGCTTGATCTGAAGATGGTGTTTATCCTTTATCTACACTACAATCCTTTTTGCTTGAAGATATTTCACAGGCCTTGTAAGTTGGGCAGTAGCTTAGGCAGATGTACATCTATGTTCTTGCCCCACATTATTTTGTTCCCAGAAAAGGCAATGGCAAATTATTTCCATAATGCAGTCAAGAAAATAGCATGGAGGCAATCACCACACTTGAGCTCAGATCAAGTGTATCTTCAACTTTTAAAATGTTACTGTAGACTGAAATGTTTTATTGATAATTACATATCATTGTTGGTCCTTGCCTTGGTATTTGTTGGATATAAGACCATATATAAATACAATACAATTTGAAAATGTTCAGAGGAGGGAAAGATTTATGGCCAGCAGTGACAGCCCATTTATCAGACTATTAAAATGCACTACAGCCCATGGAGGGGACAGAATGATTTTTGAATATATCAGTAATCACTATGGACTCAAGGAAAGCTTTAGACTGTCGCAGCCCACCCATGTTTAGTGCTGTTTGGAGGTTCTAGAACAGAACTCCCGATCATCCACAATGGCTATGGTGGCTACAGGTGATGGAAATCATAGTCCAGTACATTTGGAGAATACCAGGAGAGAGAAAGCTAGTCTTTAGATACAAGATCCACAGTTCATTAGTATGCTTCCAGAGGATGGAAGCACCCTCATATAAGCATCAATGACCAGTCAGCAAAATGTCATCCAAAAATATAACGGAAATAAATTCCCTTTTGTCCTAACTACAGAAAAAGGTATTTGATGTGAACAAAGCTAAGATAGGTAGCATTTTCTTTCAATAGTTTTCCATTCAAATTGAATTGCCCATCTCTTCAGATTGCTTTCTATATTCACTGGAGTTTGAGAAGGTAATGTATCTAAAATAGCATTCCATGTTTAAAAAAAAAATCACTCCTACATCTAAAATCCTAATCAAGTATCTCCAGAAAAGAGTATCTCCCTGAATTGCATTTGTCTAAGCTTGTATGAAAGTACAGCTTTAACCTGAAGGACAGGGGAAAAAAATAGGTATTTTATTTCTGACATAAATAATAACATTTTGACTTAATGGAGAAATGCTATATTTCCCTTGAAATAGGACTGTCTGCTATAACTGCCTAAAGCAGTGTTGTCCAAACTTGGCCACTTTAAGATGAGTGGACTTCAACTCCC